TAAAATATTCGTTATTTTTATCAAACGAAATATAACATGTATAATATTATCTATAGTTTCAATTGAAATTAAATTATCATTTTTTATAATTTCATTATTTAGATTTAAAAACTTTCGTATAATGTTACTGCAAATACTATTTGTTCTTTAGATATTTTTTCAGCATCCGGTCATGTTTTATGGATGATCTTTTCACACCAGATTTCATTTTCATCTTCTGGTATACTTGTGTACAGCTTTTCGTAATATTCTTTAACTATACATTTTTCCTTCCAATTTTTAATCTTGCTTGGTGGTACCTTCATAGTTATTTACAGAAGATTTCAAATATCCACAAATATTGATTTTTTGATTTGCAAAGACATAGTTTTCCTTTGTGACTGATATCTTTCTATTAATTTTAAATAATTCAAAATCTTTTATCAATTATTAGAGCATTTAAATTATAATGTAATTTAATAAAACTTACTTTTTTTTGAATAGTTAAATCATAATAAAATGTTCTAGCGTTTGTCATTCTAATTTTCAAAAAAGCTCTGGATATTTTTGAATAATATAGTTCACAGCAATTGCTTTCAATACTTTGTCACTTGAATAAATTGTTTACAAAATTATCTTGTTCACAATTTTGTTAACAATTTTTTTTTTTTTTAGAATACTAAGAATATTATAAGCAAATAGTTTTTTTTATAAAGAAAATAAATAAATTATTTACATTGACGAAAGTTGGATCATATATCTTGTCTTATAATTTATTGCTTTCAATTTTTTATCAAATGTCAAATATTTCCTTTTGTAAGTTTCCAACTTCCTTATTAATTTTTTTTAAATAATTTAACATTCAATTATCTTTTTCTTTTTTGTTAATGGTTTTTCTTCTCCTAATAAAATAAAATATATAAAAATTTTTAAAAAATTACCATTAGAATATTAGTCTTCTCTTCCTATTTCTGTTTTTCTTCATTTTCTTGTTTACGATGATGAAGATGTTTGTCTTTTATTATCATTTAATATCAACACATCTTCTATTTCAGTCTCTCCTCTCATTATTGATGTTGATACCGTTGATATTGATTCTGTTATCAGAGTAAATACTGCTTATGTTGAAGTCTTTTTTTTTACTTTAATAAAACTTGATCTTCCAGATAAAAGATTAGAAATTCTATCTTCATCTCTTTTTTGTTTTTTTTGATAAAAGCTAATTAAAGTTCTTTGTGACATTTCAAAAATTTTTAAATATTTTAAGATTTATTTTATAAAGATAGAAGAATTTCGATTCTTTATATATATATATTTTTTCATTTCATTTTTTCAGAATTTAAAATAACTCGAATATTTTCAAAATGTATCATTATATTTCATTTTACATATGTATTATTTTTCATTAGATGTCAACTCTCCTTTTCTTTTTTTGATATATCATGATATTATTTCTAATTAATTATATAAATATTAAATTCATATCATAAATTATTTTAAGATATGTAATTATAAAATAAAATTTACTTTTGATATGATGTAAAAGATAATATTATTGAATATTTTTATATGCATATGTATATATATCAAATAAGTTATTATTAATGGTATATCTTTTATTATATTACAAAGTATTGGGTGTATTGTCTATGGATTTATTAAAAATTTATTAATTAAATTTTTACATATTGAAAAATATTATCTATTATTTTAAAAAATAAATATGAATACTTTTTGAAACAAATCAAAATAATAAAAAAAAAATGAAGTAAACTTTGTTATTAAAATAAATATAAAAGTAAAAAGTGAAATATTGGATTATATACAATATGAAATTTTATTGATATATAATTATAATACAGGTTTTATAATATAATACAAATAATACAAATAT